TCCCTGAACAACAGCAGGAAAACTCAACAGCCCTAGCTCCCAGCCATTTGTCATTTTCAGGAATATCCTGGAAATCCAAAAGGAGGAATTTATTTGGAAGGAATCCGTTTGCAATGGCAAAGAAAACCAGCAGAGACAAAACAAAAGAAGGGGTTTAGACTGGGAAGAACAGAGCTGACACTACTTCCCGCTTTCTCACTCTACCCCTCAGCCAGTATTTAAAGGACAGTTCTTATAGCTAGCCTTGAAGTTTTGGGTATGGGGGAAGAATATTCTCTCGGAAGTCAGGGCAAACCTTTGTTTTCTAATATGATTTCCAAAACAAAAAAGAAATAATTGTCTAAAATAGTTTAGACCGAACGGCATTAGAAACCAACAGAGCTCTCCATTGCTGGGAGACTATGTCCAAATGATGTAGGGCTTTTTGAAACTATTATTTCACACCAAATGTATAATTAAAAGGCAGAAGGTTATCCAGGGTGTCCTTTAGAAGTGGCTCGGTGTAGCTGACATACGCACACGTGTTTAGAAATATGTTTATAAAACAAAACCCCACAAGGTTGGTACGTTTATAAATATTTATTGTAAAAATCCAATTATTAAAAATAAATACTTTTTTTTCAAACACACAAAGTAAAATCCCTTCATAACTGTGCGATGGAGAAAACCATGGATTAGAAGACGTCTGAAAAGAGATACAATATTCCAACATTTTAAACCCTTTTATCGAGTGACTTTTGAAGATGCATTTGTGTCTGGAATACTCACAATCATTGAGAACATTTTATTCTTCTAGAAATATGCCAAGAGACAGGATCTTGAATTAATAACCAAGCACCCAATTCCCTGCAGTTTGACTCTGTGTTTTCTCAGGCAAACTCCCATTTAAATCAATGGGCCCGAGAAGAAGAGCAGGCGTGGGCTTTCAAAGCCTTGTAGGGCAACTAAAATAAAAGTACACTGATGAGTTACAACTTCAGGGGATTCTTTTTACAAACATAGCATTTAATGATCTCAAATGTAAAACTCCTACATAAGCCTTCATTAGGGCACCGTTTAACTGCACACTGTAATGTTTATAAAATGAAGATACACAGAGATGCAATTTGACTATCTTCACACTCATTGACAATAAAACATGGAAACATATGGAAGCCATCTCCTTGAATGCGTAACAATTTCAGTACATTGCAGTATATACATGCTTAATAGGTATCCGAATGTTAAAATTATCAAAGCCTTTTCTCTGAAGTGTATCCATTATACAGGAAAGAAAACATGTGTTGGTTACAGACGGGTGCTAATGCAACCCTCCATTGCCGCTTTTTCACCAGGATTGGAGTCGGGGCAGCAAACGGGGAGGAGTAATTTATTGGACAGAAAAGTTCAGAAGATAAAATGCAGAAGTGGAGACTGTTTCAGCCCGTGGAGCAGAGAGGAGACCGGCTCCGTCGGCCCGCACGGGGCTCCACGAGGACACATGCACTGGCATATGGAGGCTACACGGAGCACTGGCTTTTTTGGCAGTTTCTGTCTCCTTCGAGCCCCTGAAGTTACCTTTTAAAAGTTTGGTTTTATCTCTTTAGAAACGGTCTCGAGCTAACGGGCAGGGTGAGTTTGACAGAGAGGAGAACAAATCGCTGACAAAGACCCTTTTACGTTTCATCAGCGTTGTTAGGACGACAAGCAGGAATTTCTCAGATAATAACTCCCACTTCAAAGATTTCTCAGCTCAATAGAAATTGGACCATCCTTTTTATTCAGCCACAAGGGCTGGCACTAAAGACGACTCAACTGTTTGAATTTTTTTCCCCGTGTTTATTTTTCCCCTATTCACTGGGGTACTTGGATAAAATAAACAACAAGACAATTACTGCAACGTGGACTTCTAACTTTCCTGGACCATCACCCAGCGCCCATGGCCTCGGCCAGCCGGGTGTCAAGTTCTTCCTCCCTCCAGGCGCTTACCACTTTCCAAACCTGCCCCTGTCGCGAGGGGAGGGGACTTTTGCCACCGATCTCTTCCCTTTTTGTTTTGAACGGTGCCTTAAGCTGACTCTTAAATGCCCCCAGTCCATTAGGCTGAGAAAGCCCCAGTGTCCCTTTAATTTCCTAACTTCTCGTGTGTGAGGGAGGGGGAAAAAAATCCTTCTTGGGCACTATCGATTCGGGGTGTCTCATCCTTCTGAGTCTGCTCCGGTTAGGAGGGAAGTTGGTGCTAACCTCGAGGATGGACGGGTCCGTAGCGAGAAGCCCCTCCTTTGGGGGAAGAATCGCAAGGCGAGAGTGCTAGAGCAAAGCCCACCTTAGGGTGAAGGCAAACAAAACCTTTGTGAAAGTGTAGGAGGGGGAGGATGTATATCTCTGACGAAGAGCAGATTGACTGTATTAAGCTAGCATGAAACCAAAGGTCAGTGCAAATGTATCTTAATAGACTGTCTCAAATGGAGTGTGCCTCCTTTGAAGGCCGCTTGCTATTGCCCTGCTCATTACCATAGCGATCCTAACGTGGCATGTTGATGCACCATAAAACTCACACTTTCAACCCCAAAATCAGACCCTTTGAACAACCCAAGCTTGATTAGACCTTTCTCCTTTTCTTTTCCCCCTTAAAAACCATTTCCTTGCCTTTAGAAACTCGCCATCAAATCCCAAACGCATTCTCTGATCACGGCAGAGAGCAGAAACAAAAGTGAGCTGACGCGCCGGTTCAGGCGGGCCTTTTCTTCCTGCCATTCTTATCCATTTTGATTATGATCTGGAACAAGTGCCTATTCGCGTGGGTTTTGTTTACCGGAAATTAAATGAAAATGATTTAGTTCGCGTCAAACAAAAATATATACTTGTATACACAAGAAAAAGGGCCTGTTAGACGTAAATATTATGTCCTTGATGAAAAGACTGGACGGGCTCCAGACTTCGCCTTTCACTATTTAAGTATGACTTGCCTATTGCCATAGAAATCCTAACTTACCATGAAGATTCACCGTTGCGAAGAAATACTTCTTTGTGCGAGCTTTCTTTGATGTCTAAGGCATAAGAATCAGGCTTTCAGCTGCGTCTGTCTAGATTACCTTGAGAGCACCGAGGTAGACATCTGTAACAAGCACATGAAAAATTAAAGGTGATTAGCTTGCACATCCAAACACTTCGGTAAATAAAGAAATAGAGAAATAAACAGATCTCTAGACAAGATGGAAACCCCCTCTCCCCTCGCTGATCGCTTCCCTACCTTTTAATTTCCACGGGATAAGTTTCATGGTTTGAACAGTCAGTGGGGAACAATCGTGCTATGTGCTGCTGCTATTTTTTTATGTGACTAGAACATGCATTAAGTAGACCTCGCCTTCTGGATGGGGCTGGGTCATCATTATTTGCGTTGCCAACTACACTAGCAAGAGGAGATTAAACAAAAGTTGCCCATCTTTTAATAGGACGACGTGAAACCACTAGGTAGTAGTTCTTTTGTCCCAAAAAAATGAATAACGGTGCGGCGGAAGGGAGGTGACTGGGCTGCTGTTCTTTCACAACTGTCCGGATAATTTTTACTGGGGTCATACGGCATTAACCCTGGTTACCTGACTGAACCGATCATTACTTAGGGTTTTTTGCACAGGATAGGAAAGAAACAGTCCTCGCAGGCACGCGGGCTGCATGGAGCCTGCCTGGGGAACCGCTCCCAGCGCAACTCGCTGCTTATTTGCCTTTCCTACGTGGTATTTTTAAACATCATTAAGTCATTAAAATTATACCAGTCGGGCATTTTCAGGTTTCCCAGCAGGGTTCGCCCCCCTCTCCTCCCCTCCCCGCCCACGATTATTTTTATTTTTTTTTCCTAGGAGTGAATCATGCCAGGTTGGGGACATGCAAGTTTTAGGATCTTAGCTACGAGGAACATTCTAAAGCCTGTTTGCTTTTGCTCTTACAAAATTTGTCTCATATATATATATATATATATATAATTTTTTTACAGGACAAACATTGTGCGCTTTAGACAAGACCAGCACCGAGTTTACATGATTCATTCAGAGAAATTGACAACTCACAAGTCCTTTCGGACAGTCCCAGCCCCTGTGGATTCAGCACAATGACGTCACCGATAACAGCGCTCCCCTCCCCCCACCCACGTACATGGTTTTTCTTCCTCCACCTCTAAGAAATCACAAGAACCCACAATTCAACAGGAATGACACTGGGGGGGGGAGGGGAGGGTTGAAATATGTTTATGTATTAAAAGTCATTACTAGTGTAAACTAAAATGGACAATAAATCATGAAGCAGCCCTTGGGCATTTTTTTTTATTAGTGATAACCTGGAGGGGAAAATATAGGTAGATACTGCACCAGGGAGAAGTAATGAGATTCTTTACAGAAACGTCCAGCGAACTGGTTAATTAATCAAAGAATTTAATTGATCCATCTTATACAATTCGGTAGCAAATAATAGTTGATATTTAGAGACAGAGAGATAGGAAGGAAGGAAGGAAGGAAGGAAGGAAGGAAGGAAGGAAAACCACAGGCACTCACAGCAAACCGTGGGCTAAGGAAACACTCTAGCACAAGGTACCAAGGAGAACAAAACCTGTCCAGCTAGAAATCCGCGTGGCAACACTTTGGTTCTTTGATACAAAAGACGGTTAAGATCGATGAGCTTGTAAACAGAGTCGCAGGAGACGGCCGGAGGTGTGTGGGCAATGCGGGGAGGATGCGGGAGCAACGAGGACCAACGGAAGTTGCCTTCACGTGTGCTGGGGACCGTGGACACAGTTCGGAACATGGAAGGGCTGAATCTATGTTACAAGGGGTCTTCTGGCCCGTGGCCGTGTGCCCGCGCGGAGCCTCTGTCCCCTGCTCCCCCCCTTAGCGAGGCTTCCCCTGGAGTGGCCTGGCCAGCCTCTGTGCACTGCTCCCGCCTGGCAAAGGGACCAGGGGCAGGCCAAGCAGGCGCGGGGAGATCCGGACAGCGGAGTGGGCGAAGCCCTTTCTCAGTGGTGTGTGCGCTTAGCAACTGGGCCTGGGCTCACAGTTCGTGCAAGAGGCCTCTCCCGGGCCCGGAGACGGAGAGTTACTGGGAGGAGTCGGGATGGCGCTGGCCCCCGCGCTCTGACACACGTACCATTCGCTCAGGTTCGCGGCGCTTTGCGAGGACGCCGCGGGCTCGGCGTGCGAACAGGAGGCGGGCGGCTCCCGGCCGGAGTCCGAGGAGGGAGACACGAGGGACGGGGTGGAGGACTCGTAGCCCGAGCTCGGCGGAGGGGACTTGCAGTGCACTTTCATGTGCTTCCTCAGGGAGCTGGGGTGCGTGTAGGACTTGTCACAGCCTCTCACTTTGCAGTTGTACGGTTTGTCGCTGGTGTGCACGTGAGAGTGCTTCTTCCTGTCACTGCTGTTGGCGAAGCGTCTGTCACAGCCCTCGAATTCACATTTGAATGGCTTTTCCCCTGGAAGAATGCAATTAACGAGGACAGACATTAGTAAACTGGGTGCGGGGGGAGGGGAGAGGGGGGTCCTCAGGGCTTTAAAACATGCAGTCCCTCCGCGTGCCCCCGGGACGGAGAGCTCTCCTCTGGCCCTTCCGCCGGGACCCCCCATTCCGCCGCAAACAGCAGGACAGGAGCACCCGCGCGGACCCGGCCTGCAGCCCGCCCCGGCTCGCACGGCGCCTGCACGTTGCGCTCGGGCCGGTGCCTTTGTTTTTTCCACGCGCCCCCGTCTCCCAGCAGCACGTCACAATGGGGCCCTTACGTGCACATTGGCTCGCCCCCCCCCGACACGCACAGCACCGGTCACGCGCGCCGTATCACGCACCTCCCCTCCTCGCACCGCACCGCACCAGGCACAATACACCCGCCACGCACCCTCTCCGCTGCTGCCTCCTGCACAATGGCTCACGCACAACCGCGCACAAACAATCACACGCGGTCACACGCACCGCGTTGTCGCCCCAGCGGCCCTATCTCCCTTATTGAACGCTAGTCATTTCCCCTTCCCCTAAATTGTTGCTTAAAGTGAGGTTTGTGCACAGGACAAAGAAGCCGGACAACTTAAAGCCCAAGTGCGCACTACAAGTGACCGGTGTGTGCTTTGTGTGGCAGGGGTCAGTGGCGCTCTGGCAGGAGTGGTCAACGATTTGTGCCTGGGAACGTTTATACATTAAATACATCTCTCACACTCCCAGAGGTGCGTCTTATTCATAACCTTGCTCAGTCACATCTGATACAGCGTATTCTTGTATTGATTACAATTGTATCTCAGACATACGACTGATTTTTCCCCCCACTTGCTGCAACCGCACGTTATCTCGAGATGTTTAAAGACCGGAGTCCTCTTAAAAGCACATTGATTGTGAGATGTTAAAGGATGCAGTCTCACTGAGAGAGTGACTAGGCCAATGCCTGCTGCTGCTGCTGCTGCTGCTGCTGCTGCTGCTGCTGTTGTTGTTAGGGTAAGAACCTTACACCATTTTAACATAACCAGTAATGAAGGAGATGTAAATCGGGTCTCGTTTCGGTGGTGATATGTGAGATCAAACATTGCAAAAATAAATCGCATTGCTTGAGTCGTGAGAGGGGACACCTACAATTCTCTACAAGAATGTACTGCGTAATACATAGGGTGCGCATTTCAAGACAATTGCAGTATTAAATGATATTCGGAGCTCTAACTGATCACATAAATCCGCAAAACACGCGTGCAAAGGAGCACGACCCTTCTGCTATCCGAGCTGCGGGAATATTATTTTTAAGATTCAGTAGTACATAGTATCAGTGTGCAAAGGCGACTGAACTTATTTGGATTTGATGTGCAAACAAAAGCCACTGTGTGCACCATAATGGCGCACTTGGTCAAAAGAATGTAGCATGTTTATATATGTTGATTTTTTTTTTCCTTTGCAGTTTGCAATTACTAATTTCGGAGCGAGGCAACCTTTATTATATTTATTTTGAATATAGAGCGGTCCTTTAATAAATTAATGCATGCTAAATATTTAATGCAAATGTACTTGAAAAAGGTGGGCGGGGAAAAAAAAGTCCTGGCTCCATATTTAAACTAAGTCCCTTTCAGTATAATAATCAATGACAGTCTCTCCCGCACTGTAGCGCTAACGTTTAAATAGAAAACAGGCAAATACCTGGCAAAATTCACACTCGTTCAAAAAAAAAAATCAGATCACTTACAAAACGGTGCAGCTCAGGTCCTGCAACAAAATAGCTTCGATAAATGTAGGTGTAGGAACCTAAGGATAGTTTCTAGATAGTCTAATGACAGTTTCACGTAAGGAAACAGTTTGACCTTCAGCATCTACGTTGAGACAACAAATCAAGGATATTAGTGTAGTACAAGCAAGCAGTAAGTTAGGAGACCCCTGGGAAAGCCATCCTCGTAAACCTGGGTTTGTGCAAAGCGAGTTGTATTCAGGTAAAAGGGACTGCGGCAGATCTCATTTCTCCGGAGCTAAGAAATGCACAAGTTCGCTGAACCCCTGTGATCCAGCGGGTGGAAAACCCCTCCGCTCAGTCCGCTATCAGCTCGGGTTGAAAACAGAAGGCACATTTTCTCAGCTGCCTGGCTCGCATTCTTTGAGCGCCTCGATAACTAGGAGCAAGCCGAGGAATGTGCAATGGTCCCTGGTAGAGAGCAGGGTTTCCTGCCTGCAAATATTTATCCTTTAAGAAAAAAGAGGATCTTTGGACTGTTCTTCCTTTGTAAGCCCAAATGTAAAAAGTTACCACGGCTCTGGAAAAGCGGAGAGTGGAAACCGCCATTTTAAAACCACACTTGTAGCTGTGCAAAACTGCTCAGTGAAATTCAACTTGGAGATTGTAGCCTAATCCCCCAACTCCGCGAGTGGATTAAGGTATTTACAAAATTCTCAGGGGGAGGAAGGGAGCATAACACTGTGAATGCTGGCTTTGGAAACTAGAAGCAGGAAGATATGTTGTAGTGCTGGGAAAAGCCCTTCCCATCCCAGACTTTTCACCATTGTTCCTGGCAAGCTTGAAGAAGAAAGTGAATCCCTGCCAGCCCTGCCTGTTCCGTATCTTTGTGAATTAATGACTATAATTTAATCTCGAAAATTCTAAAATCGCAAGAAATCCACTCTCTTCCCCCGTTTCCCAGCCTCAGAGAAACGAAAAGTCATTAATATTTGAGGAGGCAATTATTTTCCTGTTGAATCTAGAACTGTCTTCATGAATAATTTGTAGCAAGTTCTATTACGATTTCAGAAACATTTTGTTTTTGACAACTTATGGGTGTTTAATAGAAACGGTAGAACCGTAAAGGCCCTGCAGGAGTTTTCACAATGCAGCAATTAATCACTGGGAAAGTTAAAGTGAAAAGTACATACGTACGAAATGATGTTTAATAAACCCAAACCCACGATTCCTGTCATGCCCTGAACCTGCTTCTCTGATGTAGGTCAATTTCACCAAGAATTTAACCATTTTCTGCTTCACAGACTTCAAACAGTGAGGCCGTTAAAGAGCAGTAAAAGTTTGTTTACTTAAGAAAAACACTGTCATTAAGGGACAACTCTCCTGTTTAATGGGTCTACCTGTTCTGAGCCAGCCCGAAGATGCCTTAGACACCATAACTCTTCCGTGGGCTTTCTTGTTTTACTCCAAAAAAGAGGATCGAAGGCATATTGGTCTCATTAAGCCTCCGTGCATAGATGTATAAATAAGCTGTTCGCACAACCCTGCCAAATGCTACTTCGTAATCGGGATAAAGTGGCTCTGCTATATTTAGAATATATCGACACAAAATTAGCCCATGTCGCCTGCCTACTATACCACGGAGAGTTGCATCGTAAAATGTAGCTCCACTCGGGTCAAGGCGAAGACCGAGCATGGGGGAGGGGGAGTTTTATAAACTGGAGGGCGAAAAAAATCGCTTGGCTGTAAACAGATCCTACAATAGGATTATGTAGTTTCCCTAGCAGTGCATAAGGCTGTACAGGGGAGGGAGGGAAGGAGGGGGAGAGGGGTGGAAAACCCTATGCTGGAACAGATTTAATTTTCCAAAAAGGGCTTATTCCTTATCTTCTCCCTCAGAAAAAAAGCCAGCGCTCGAGACTACAAACACCGGCTGCTAAACTAATTAATACAACTTCACAGGCTGCTCCTGGAAGTGTGAAAACTTTCTACGTGCAATTTCATTAATTATAGATGCTTTTCTGGCCGGAAGAGTTCAAGCATAGCTTTGCAAAATCTTCCAGGGAGTTACTTTCCTTTCTGTTAACTAGAACTAACAGATGTTTCTGACACATGTCCCAATCTCACTTAACAGTTCTGCAAATGACATTTCAAAATGTGCAGGCCGAAACATTACCAGGTTTGGGGTTTCTTTTTCCTCCGTAGAATCAAAACCCCGTATTTGCAGCGGCACGAAGTGGTTAAGATGGTAATGCTCATTTAAAATGTCAGTGTAATTCAGATCAAACATTTGAAACTCCATCTGACCAAAACAGAACTGTTGAACGGAAAGGTCGCAGCTGTGTTATTCTCACAATGTTAGAGGCAGCAGCATATCGGCAACATCAGTCAAAACTGACTAGACAAGTTGTAACTTCCATTGTTCACTTTTAATTTGCCAGCTTGCATAACCATTGCATTCCCCCCCCCCTCCAACTACTTTTAAACTACCGGGGAAAAATTCCTCGCCTTAGTGTCTACAAAGAAACAGCCTCTAACTTACAATATTTACACAGACAGATATGCACACACGTTACAGAGGTCTGCATTAGCTTTTAAAACGTACATCCATTACTTTTGAGGTGCATTTTTTTTCAAATCGGGAAAAAAAGCAAACAAGGCTGAGAATGTATTTTAAAGAATAATTTGGCGTGCATTCACTAACAACGCGAGCAACACACTTCTTAAACAGGATGCTGAATAAAATAGAGAAAGTAAGGAGAGCTTTCCATACTGACCTGTGTGAGTTCTTTTGTGTATTTTGAGATTCTCTGATCTGGCAAACACTTTCCCACAGCCTGGGAACGGGCAAGGGAAGGGCTTTTCACCTGTGTGGACTCGGATGTGATTTACAAGTTTATATTTGGCCTTGAAAGGCTTCCCCTCTCGCGGACACTCTTCCCAGAAACAGATGTGATTGGACTGCTCGGGTCCTCCAACGTGCTCCACGGTGACATGAGTCACCAGCTCGTGCATCGTGCTGAAAGTTTTCGAGCATAATTTTTTGGGAGTCTGGTCCAACTCAATCCACTTACAGATGAGTTCCTGTTTGATGGGCTGCCTCATGTAACGGAAGAAGGCGCCGGGGCCGTGATGTGGAGCCAAATTCACGTTCAGATTCATGCCACCGTAGCTATGAAGCGAAGAAGCAGCAAAAGGATCTGTCCTGGAGGCTGGTACTTGAGTGAAATGTTCAGACCTGGCGTACATTTCTCCAGGTAACCCCAGTCTTATCTGTCCGTTTAGATGGCCACCTGGAGCTGCATGGGGAGGCTGCTCATGGAGTCCAGTGAACAGAGAATGATTCCCAGCTTCTGAGTGGTGGTGACCATGGTGTCCGGGGTAGCTACCTGTTGTTGAGACAAACAGTCCGTGGTGAGAACTTGTAGCAGTGTGCTGCTCAGTTAGCCCTGGCATGACTGGGGCTGTCAGATCTCTGCGTATAAAAAAGTCCCTACCTGCTGGAATAGCCTGGGCTGTGTGAGAAACTGGGTAAGGGACTGTTGTTGACTGCGCCGGGCCAAATGCTCCTGTTTGACAAGAGACCACCTCAGCTTGGCCTGCCAGAGGACGATGGTGGTGGTGGTGCTGGTGGTGGGGATGAGGATGAGGGGCAGGGCTGAGTTTAAGGGCCGCGGGGTGATGATGATGATGATGAGGTGGAGGATGATGGCGGTGGTGATGGTGCCCCATGTGTTCTGACCGGAATGGACTCGGCCCTAGGCGCGATTCCGCGGCGTACTCCCCAGGGTGCGTGGGAGCCATGGCGTGGGGATGCCCGGCGAAGCCCGGGAAGCCTGTCATGCTCTGAGGGGGGTGATGATGATGGTGGTGGTGGTGGTGGTGATGAGCCCCTGCCAAGTCTACTAATCTCAGCGCCGTGTTCCGTTTGGAGAGTGCAGCAGGGTCCATCACTGGGCTCCCCAAAGCATCCACGCTCATTAGCTTCTAATTCTAAAAAGTCACCTGACAGCGGGGAGGAGAGAGAGGGAGAGAGAAAGGGAGAGAGGGAGAGAGAGAGGCACAAACTTTTTTTCAAAGTTTTCCAAGTCTGGTTCCCGGTTGTGGGGCTGGGCGGGGGAGGGGGTTGCTTTGCTTGCTTGCTTTTTTGCTTTTGGGTTTTTTTTTTTTTTCTTTCTTCCTTTTTTTCTTGTACTTTCCCATTATTTATTTATTTTTCCTCCTCGCCCCCCCTCCCCCCCCAGATGCCTACGTGGAATCCCATAGGCTTGAGAAGCAGCAGCAGGACGCTGAGAGGCTACTGAATAGATTCATGGACACGGCTCCGGCCCGGAGAGCGAAACAATCACGGAGCCCTGCCATTGGCCGCCCCCCCGCCGGGGACCCCCCCCCTGAC